TAATCTGGGAATAGCAACAGTTGTTGTTTTAAATAGAGCCTCTCAGGGTGACATTTTATTAATACTGCTGCTATCTCATAATCCCTCATAAACAAGGTACTTGACTTACTTCTGAGAAAGCAGCTTGTTGGGATATATTGACATCTTGGCATTTGTGAGAAGTGAGAAATTTTCCCATATCTTGAATCCATAACTTTACTTTGCTTCCGGAAATTACTGTATTTTGAATTGGTTCACATCTTTTGTGGAATGTATAAGAAAAAAGTTGTTTACATCTAAAGACCCCTTAGTAGTATAAATAGATTAAGCAATGCTAAATACTGAAGTAAAAATCATTAACTTGTTCTTAAATAATCCATTTCTTCTAAACATAGTGACATTCACCATAATATTGAAGTATTTAATCAAATCTTTTAACAATATAATGGAGACATAGCTAAAGTCAGGGGAAAGTTTATTGATTTGTCACTTTTACTGAACATTTCTAACATATGCAATAATTGATTAAAGCAATGTTTCCTGTAAACTGAGATTGCTGGCTGTTGTAATAAAAATAACAATACTGAATTATATTGCATAAATAAATATATCAATATATAAATACATAAACACATCCCTACATGAAGGAATTTTTAATGTTTTAAATTTAAAATAGCTGACCCAAGTAAGAAAAAAAATAAGGGAACTAATTTCATGGTGACCTTCATAATTTACAGAAAGACAATGATAATTTGAAATCTCCTGTTGGACAGAGAAATGCTCCATCGTGAGAACAAGGAGCTTGTGTGAATATGTAGAGAAAAACGGTAACTGTGAATATTTTGAGGAAGAACTGAGCAGGTGAGAAAATTTTAGATAGCAACACTGATTTTCTCTTCCAGTTTCCTATTAAATTCTCTTTAGCTCCCTCCCTTGGACATACATTATACATATTTTGTGTTGAATTCCATTGCCTAAAACAAGGTTGGGGGAAACAAGAAGTGTTTTTGACTTAATTTTTTTAAAAAAACAAGTTTGATTATTCAAGAAAGGAAAAAAATAAGGGGCTAATTTCAGCCTGATCTTGATATTTTGCAAACCGCACAGGATAATTTGTGACCTGTTGTCAGACAGAGATAAAACCCAGCTGAAGGCCTAGGACTGGGGCGATGGCGTGCGTGCCCACAGAGAGGGCTCTGCGTGCCACCTCTGGCACCCGTGCCATAGGTTCGCCACCACTGGCCTAAGCCCTATTTGCAGTTGAATCCAGCTGAATTCAGTCCGATATATGCTTTTCTTGCAATGGGAAATATAAGCTATAACTCCTAAAGACAATTTAATTGATAGAGTTAATATGGGAAAACGAGAATGTCTCCTGCATGGTGAATTTCCCCCTCCCCCCACTCCACTTTCATTAAAGAATCATAAATTTCCCATGTAACCTACAGGATATTGAAAAGTTGCTTAGTAATCCTCTATATGAATAACTAGGAGTAACTCATGGATCTGAGTGGGACTTTTCAAAAGGTATGTATAAGGTAGGTCTTTTAAACTCCCCACCCCTCCTATGCAAAAAAAATAAATCTGCTTTTGGAGTAAGAGTTTCCTGACAACAAACAGTTCTCATTAGAGTTTGCTAAGAATATTTTGTTGTGGATTCAGCTGCATATCTAATTTTCTGATTTTTCTAGAGAGAGAAAAGTGAGAAAAGACTGCTCCAGATCAGGGATGTCAAACTGGATGCATTATAGCGAAACCGCGCCCATCCCATTGCTGGTAATGGCAAAAAAGGTTGTGATACGTTGCAACACATCACATGACATTGTGAGTTGGACACCCCTGCTCTAAATCATTGATGGATAGAGACCAGTTAATATCACAACAAAAAAGATGCTTTGTGAGTATCTGGCAAACAAAGCCATAAGATGAGGGGGGGAAAACTCTGGAAAAGATGAAATCTCAATTGCTGGAAAACACGCTAAAGAAGGTCTGGCTTAAAACTTCTATAGATAACTTGAAAACCAAAAAATCCAAAAAAATCCAGGCAAAATCTACTGGGGTGGCTTCAGGAATCCTAAAAGAGGTTTCTAATGATGACAGCTGGACACCCCCTCCCCACCCCAACGATGGAATAATCTGGGAAAACCCCAAGACAAACTAATCTGGGTCAACAGCAGCCTGAGGCTAAATGGCAAACACTTGACACACACAATGAGGAACCAGCTAGCAACAATCAGAATTAACAAATACACAACAATAAAAGTAATTAACACCTTTTAGGCAGGATTAGCAAAGAAGTTTAACCAACAATAGTCACTGACCAGCAAATCAGGAAAAGCAGATTCAAACTCACCAATCAGAAATGACAAATTTGGAAACCACAAAAAGGTATAAAAAAACCCTGTTTAAAGATCATTCTGTCTAGCTAGCTGGGGACTCGAGCTGAATTGTCACTCAACTTTGATCCTCGTGATTAAACCTCTCTTTCCGGTAGCTGGCTTCACGATCTATTTCTTCCGCACTGTGCCGTCAAGGAGAATCCCGACTGGAAGAACCGAACGGGGGGGGGGGGAGTTCCTCCCATCACTAATAAAGCATCAAGACACACCTTGGCAGAATGGCTTAAAACGTTCCTGATAAATCTTCAGAAGGAATCTCCTGAAGCATCCAGGGAAGATGTGGACAATTGGCTAGAGATGTCCTGTAGAGGTGGGGGCCAGGCAGAGGTCATGTGCAGAAAACTGCCCCTCCAAAGCCTGTGCGCCTCTTCTCTAGATCTATCTCCTCCCTTCACTTCACCGTGGCGATGTGAAAGTACGCAGGCTTCTGCAATGACCTTGCCTGCTTGATGTCAGCTAGCTCACACCAACAAGATGTTATTGCCAACTGTTCCCTGTTTTGTGCCTCTGGCTTCTGTATTCTTAAGGATTGGTTAGGAGTTTAACCAATGAAATGCTATTGTCATGCAGAACTTTTGCTGCTTGTAAAACTGTATATAAACAATAAAATGTTGCGTGTGAGCGGCCATATTTGCAGCCTGCAATGACTGAGCACTGATTACTACAATGTCCGTAAGTCATCTCCAAGAAGAAGGACCTGAAGCATCCCATCCGAATGTACAGGAATGGCTTGAAGCACACAAAAGTCCAAAGCAGCCTAAGAAAGAGGGGGGGGGGCTTGCTTGAAAAATTAAAAGATGGACTCAGGAAGCAATATCCTGAAGGACCTGTGGAGAACACACTGAAATGGCTTCAAGGATCTTTAGAAGGACTCTCATCTTCTACTGAAGCTAGACCAGTTCTCGAAAAATGGCTTCAAGATTCCTTAAAAAGCCTGGAATTGGAAAGTTCTGAAGTGGACAATCAAAATGTTCAAAGAATGGTTTCAAACTATAAATAACCTTGAAGAGGAAGGACCTGAAGCACCCCATCTAGGTGCTCAGGAATGTCTTGAAACATCTATTAAAGGAGGGATCTTCAAACTTGGCATCTTTAAGAATTTTGGACTTCAATTCCCACAATTCCCCAGATATCATGGCTGCCTAGGGAATTCTGGGAGTTGAAGTCCCCAAGTCTTAAAGCTGCCACATTTGGAGACCCCTGATCAAAGGCATTCAGGATCCACAGAAGTCTAATGTAGATTTTTGAAGAAGCCCAAGAAAGGCTTTTAAGTTGTCATTCTGCCTTGGAAAAAGAAAAAGAGTGTTCATTAAATTGAAGACTAAGGCTCCTCAATTTACTTCATTGTCATATTTTCAATTCTGCTGACCCAATCCAGCTAAGCTCTGGTTTGCTTAAACCAGGGGTAGGCATCCTTGGCTCTTTTATGACTCGTGGACTTCAACTCCCAGAATTCCTGAGCCAGCCATGCTGAGGGGAAAGGAAGAGTTTCCAAGCTGAGCCCTGCTGGCTCAGGAATTCTGGGAATTGAAGTCCACGAGTCATAAAAGAGCCAAAATTGCCTATTCCTGATATAGGGTGCCATGCTGGTAGAGGAATTCTGGGAGTTGAAGTCCCCTCATCTTCCTAGTAACTCAGGGGTAGGCCACCTTGGCTCTTTTATGACTCATGGACTTCAACTCCCAGAATTCCTGAGCCAGCCATGCTGAGGGGAAAGGGAGAGGTTTCGAAGCTGAGCCATGCTGGCTCAGGAATTCTGAGAGTTCCACGAGTCATAAAGCGGCCTAGGCCTAGACCAGGGGTAGGCCATCTTGGCTCTGTTATGACTGGTGGACTTCAACTCCCAGAATTCCTGACCCAGCATGGCTCCACTTGGAAACTCTTCCTTCCCCCTCAGCATGGATGGCTCAGGAATTCTGGGAGTTGAAGTCCACGAGTCATAAAAGAGCCAAGGTTGCCTACCCCAGGCTTAAACCCTGGTTAGGCTTGATTTAAAACGCCTCCAGAGGGAGAGCTTTGAACTGCCAACCTTAACAGATTTGTGGAATTCACATACGTTGCAATGTGCTTTCCAACTGTAAATTATATTTCAATGCTAATTCCCACCCAAATCATTCTTTATAAGGAAAGAGAGCCATTCTCTATTTTCTTTTAATTTCCCTGGCACCGGCAGTGGAAATAAGGATCTTTAGCTCCAAGGATTCGTCTTCTATACTATAGAGTGGAGAGAAGAGAAGCAACTTAGAACTAAGGAGAAATTTCCTGACAGTGAAAACAATTAACCAGTGGAACGACTTGCCAACAGAAGTTGTTGGTGCTCCATCAGTGGAGGCTTTTAAGAAGAGACTGGACAACGATTTCTCTGAAATGGTATAGGGCTTCCTGGTTGAGCAGGGGGTTGGACTAGAAGACCACCAAGGTCCCTTCCAACTCTGTTATTCTGTTCTGTTTCTTGCGCTAAGCGCGAATTTCACTCGTTCCCTCCTGAGAGTATCAACCCAGCCAGCTCATCCGAGCGAAGGATGCTGGGTGTTGTAGTTCATTTACGTCTGGAAGTCTTCGGTGGCTTCTCCTCGCGGGAAAGTCCCCGGACTTCAACTCCCGTCAGTCCTGCAGCTGCTCTGTTTCCCCAGCTGCGCGGTGCAACCCAGAGCCGCCGTGCGCCCAAAGCGAAACTGGTTGGGCGCGGGCCATCTCTCCGCCTGTCGCCGTCGGAGGTGTTGCGAAAGCGGCCCCGTCTGAACAAGGAGCCCAGGCAAGACCCAGCCGCGGCCGGCCATGGCGGGAGAGGCGGTGACCAGACGCATCGGGGACGAAACGGAGAAGTCGGAATGCGCAGCGTTGCCAATGGTAGCGCTGAATCACTCGGTGCGGCGCCGGCTGGCGCTCTTCCTCAACCCGCGCGCCCCGGTGGCGGCCGACTGGACGACGCTGGCGGAGGAGCTGGGCTATGAATACCTGGAGATCAAGCACTTCGAGGCCCAGCCGAACCCCACCGGCCGCCTGCTGGACGACTGGCAGGCGCGGAGCCCCGGCGGGGCAACGGTGGGCCGCCTCCTGAATCTGCTGCGCGTCCTGGGTCGCCAAGACATCCTCACCGACCTGGGACCCAGCATTGGTGAGCGCCCGGCCCGATAGGAACGGGGAAGGTAGCTGTCCGAGCGACGGGGCGAGGGCGCGCCGTTGAAGCGGGTCGCTGCGCTGTAGCCGGCCAGCGCAGCAGTCATCCTGCAATGAGCGCTCCCGGTTGCAGCTCCTTGCATTGGCAGGCTCCCATCTCAGCTCCGAAGGGGCGACAACTGTGGTTTGCTCTGTTTTGCAAAACTCTTGTGCATTAGTTCCTGCTTGTATTCTATTTTAGGATCCTGGTTTCCTGCCTGAGCAGGGGGTTGGACTAGATGACCTCCAAGGTCCCTTCCAACTTTACTATTATTATTATCCATGAAGGCAAGTGAGGTTGGGGAAAGTGCCCCCTGTTGAATACCTGCCTGTCCGACAGAAGTGGGGTGGGTGGGTGGAGGTGGGGGGTGGAGAAGAACTTAAGTGCTACCTAAAGCTGTCTTCCCATCTGATTGGAAGCAATTTCTACAAAAGCCAAAAGACTTCCTTGTGAGTGTGTTTCATTGCCATTTCCTGCTTACCCATCCCCCACCACATCCTGTTTGATTGCTGTAGTCGTCTCACAGTAAACATCTCCAGTCAATCAGTTTTCCCAACTAATGCAAGTTATTAAAACTGTCATGAGCAACTGGTATGTTTCTGGTGTCCAGGTTTAAGTGCCATGTTCCCCTGATCTGGGTTTTTTCCAGATATGCGAGAGTTTCAACTGCCAAAATTCTTAGCCATGGGTAGGCCAGTGGGAGCATTCTGGAAGTCCACACACCTCCAGAGAGCTTCCGAAATAGGGAAGACTGGTTTAATGGTTATGAAGAGGCATAGGAAAACATAACACTCCAGTCCTGATGGTTGACTTCAATGGGAAAAGACAGTTGTTCTTTTTAGGGTTGTTTCAGTTTTTACATCCCTGTCCTGGACTGCTGAAAACTGTCATTTTAAGATAGAAATGATCTCTTTAAAACACAAATAGTCCTCGACTTACAAGAGTTTGAAGTTACAGTGGCACTGGAAAAAAAAGTGCCTTATGACCATTTTTCATACCTAACAACCGCCTCAGCATCCCCATGGTCACATGATCAAAATTCAGATTCTTGGCCACTGACTCATATTTATAACGGTCGCAGCATCCTGGGGTCAGGATGCTGCGACCTGACAAGCAAAGTCAGTGGGGAAGCCAGGTTAGCTTCACAACAGTGTGACTAGCTTAACACCTGCAGTGATTCATTGTACAAATGTGGCAAGAAAAGTCAAAACATGAGGCAAAACTCACTTAACAAATTTCTCGCTTAGCAACATCAGTTTTGGGCTCAATTGTCGTCACAAGTCGAGGACCACCTGTAATATCAATTAAAACACCCGGGGAAAAGATGTCAGTCTTCCTTTTTTTCTTCTCATTTGTGATATGGCCTCACTTGTGTAGAGATGGGGAGGGAGACATGATGTCATCTGATGGCCTGGTCTACCTCAGCGTCCCCCAAAATGGTTAATATTAACCACTCAAAGGTTGATAGCACTATCTAGAAGACTGATAAATGCATGGGTGTCAATAGGGAGCTGATAAATTATTGATTGCGGTCAAATAATGTTTTTGGTCTCTGTAAAAATAATAATAAAGTTGGAGGGTACCTTGGAGGTCATCGAGTCCAACCCCCTGCTCAGGCAGGAAACCCTATACCATTTCGGACAAATGGCTGTCCAGTCTCTTCTTAAAAACTTCCAGTGTTGGAGCATTCACCATTTCTGGAGGCAGGTTGTTCCACTGGTTAATTGTTCTAACTGTCAGGAAGTTTCTCCTTAGTTCTAGGTTGCTTCTCTCCTTGACTAGTTTCCATCCGTTGCTTCTTGTCCTGTCTTCAGGTGCTTTGGGGAATAGCTTGACTCCCTCTTCTTTGTGGCAGCCTCTGAGGTATTGGAATACTGCTATCATGTCCCCCCTCGTCCTTCTCTTTGTTAAACTAGACATACCCAATTTTAGCAACCGTTCCTTATATGTTTTAGCCTCCAGTCCTCTGATCATCTTTGTTGCTCTTCTCTGTACTCTTTCTAGAGTCTCAGCATCTTTTTACATCATGGTGACCAAAACTGGATGCAGTATTCCAAATGTGGCCTTACCAAGGCATTGTAAAGTGGTATTAACACTTCACGTGATCTTGATTCTATCCCTCTTTTAATGCAGCCTAGCACTGTGTTGGCCTTTTTGGCAGCTGCAGCACACTGCTGGCTCACATTTAAGTGATTGTCCACTAGGACTCCGAGGTCCCTCTCACAGTTGCTACTATTGAGCAAGGTACCCCCTATACTATACCTGTGCATTTGGGTTTTCTTCCCTAAATGTAGATGCATGTCAGTCCTTATTCCTGAAGCTGAGGTAAATGTTACTGCCAACACACCCATAGTTGGATAGCCAGTTACCAGGAAAAATGGTCTTCTTTTACAGACAGTCCTTGACTTGCTATCAACCCTTCAAAGTTACAATGGCACTGAAAAAAGTGACCTGTGACCGATCCTCACGCTTAAAATTGTTTGTAGCATCCCCATGATCACATGATCAAAATTCAGGCACGTTGGCAACTGATATGTAATTATGACAGTTATACTGTCCTGGAGATCATGTGATCTCCCTTAGTAATGTTCCCAGCTGGCTTCTGACAAAGTCAATGGAGGAAGGCAGATATGCTTAACGGCCTTGTGATTCACTTAACAACTGTTGCAAATGTTGTAAAATCGGGTCTGAAGTCACTTAACATCCACCTTAACGATAGAAATTCTGGTCTGAACAGGGATGTAAGAATCTCAGTGGTGGTTGTAAGTTGAGGACTAGCTGTATTGTGGTTGGTTGCACAATCAGCCAGATGTTTAGATTAGATTTGTCATTGTTATCCATCCCATTGAGTTTAAGATAGGATAGGACCTAAGATAGACAGATATTATAAGGTGGTCTTTTTAATCTATCTTATCTATCTATCTATTTCTATCTATCTATCATCTATCTATATCTATCTCTATTATCTATCTCTATCTATCTTTATATATCTATATCTATCCTTCTATATCTATCTAGCTCTATTATCTATATCTATATCTATCTTTATATATCTATATCCAGGGCTTTTTTTTCTCATAGAATGCCCAGAACGGAGTTCCGGCACCTTTTTTGGATGTAACCTTTTGGATGGGTAGGCAAGGCGGGTTGTATGACGTGTGTGAGTTCCGGCACCTTTTTTTTTTTTTTTTAGAAAAAAAGCATTGTCTATATTTATTTATTATCTATCTATATCTATTATCTATATCTCTATTATCTATCTACCTATCTATATCTATCTACTGTATATATTATCTCTATCTATCTATCTATCATCTATGCCACCCCTCTTGTCACTGAGTAACTCGGAATAGTTTATAACACCATAAGTGTTTTAAGTGTTAAAGGGATCACTAGGATATAATAAAACAGCACTTTTCAATTGACTAATAGTGATTTTGTCAATGCCAATGGTGTTAGAGCAGTGTTCCAGGTGTTTTGGGTCACCATTACAGGTAATCCTCAACTTATGACCACAACTGAGCCCAAAATTTATGTTGCTAAGTGAAATATTTGTTAAGTGAATTTTGCCCCATGTTACGATCTTTCTTGCCGCAGTTATTAAGTGAATCACTGTAGCTGTTAAGTTAGCAACATGGGTTGTTAAGTGAATCTGGCTTTTCCATTAGCTTGTCAGAAAATTGCAAAAGGGAATCCCTTGACCCTGGGACACTGCAACTGTCAGAAAAATGAGTCCGTTGCCAAGCATCCAAATTTTGATCACATGACTACGGGGATGCTGCAACGGTCATGTTCTGGCCCATATAGCTCTATGGCCCATATAGCTCTATGGCCCAGCTCTATGTTGGAAGGTCTGGCAGTTATTGGGTTAAATGTTAGGTATGTGGATGGGTCAGTGGGAGGAGTTCCAAAGGTCTTTGGGAGACTTCCTGGACACAAGCCACATGGGAATCTCTTTGTCTGTAAGAAGCATGGGCCATGGAAGGTCTCCCTATAAGCATAAAGATGGTGTGAAGAGCAATAACATTTTCTTACCTAAGGAAAGGATCTGAAAGATGAACAAACATGTATTTCCAGCAACAACAATCACAACGTGAATGCAAGTAATCTTTCTCATTAAAATATATTTTGTTTATTATAAGATCGTTTCTTTTGAGTTAACTATCTGACAGGATTTAAAAGAGATCACTTTAAGTTTGTGTCAGAATAGGTCATAAGTGGAAAAAACAATCATAAATCACTCTTTTCAGTTCCATTGTAACTTTCAACAGTCACTAAATGAACTGTTGTAAATCGAGGACTACCTGCATTGTTGTTGTTATATAGACAACTATATACCATCACAGCTGCCAATTGTATTATTATTCATAGGATTATTCATTCAATTATTTATTGAATGAATAATCTGATTCTTCCTGTTGCTTCTTCTGGACATATTTCTTACAGTCCTCCTCTGCAAATGGAAGAAAGAATTATTAAACAACTTATTAATTAAATTATTTAAATTATTTATATGCTTGGGACAATCTGAAATTGCATGAAGGGTCGAAATGAAGAGATTGGGGATCCCTGATTTAGACCAAGGGTCCCCAACCTTTGGGGCTTGGAGGCCCTGCTTGGGGGGGGGGAACTAGGTTGCGCGAGCAACAGACTGACACACATGCGTACTCACATGCATGCAGCTTTTGAGCCAGTGGTGGGTCAGCATGCACATGCGCAAATGCCTCCCAGCCTGCTGCTTGCACAAGTTGAGTTACACGCACGCGCACTCCGGCCAGCCACTTGCGTGGTTGATTCCGGTCGTGGGCTGCAATCCAGGATTGGGGACCCCTGACTTAGAGGATGCCACGGGAGCTTGTCCCTGTTAACTCTTCTTCATCCCCTCTCATCTCCCCGAATTTATGGATGGTTTCAGTCTTGGTTTCTGAAAGTTGTTTATTTCTTCTATTTGCAGAGGAGGACTGTAAGAAATATCTCCAGAAGAAGCAACAGGAAGAATCAGAGCGACCGGTTCAAGTCCCAGCAGTGGACAGTAGCTTTCCGAGGGCAACTGAAATGCAGGGCATCACCACTCAGGATGACCCCCTTGGTAAATGGGCCGTCAGATCTTTATATAATTTTAATACATGTATGGTCATTTAGTGACTGTTCAAAGTTACAACAGCATTGAAAAAAGTGACACAACTGCTTTTCACATGACTGTTGCAACATCACGTGATCAAAATTCAGACACTTGGTAACTGGCTCATATTTATGATCGTTGTTTTGTCCTGTGATCACGTGATCCCCTTTTGCAACCTTCTGTAAGCAAAGTCAATAGGGAGGTGAGATTCACTTATCAACCGTGTTCTTAACTTAGCACCTACAGTGATTCACTCACAAGAAAGGTCGTGAAAATGGGGCAAAATTCACTTAACAAATGTCTCACTTAGCAACAGAAATTTTGAGCTCATTTGTGGTCATAAGGCGAGGACTTCCTGTATTGCAATTTTTTTTAAATAATTGCTCTTTTTTAAAAATAAGCGTTGCCTTTTCTCTTCTGTCTGATTTTACGATGGACTGACCAGAGATAATTTGGACTAGGGTAGTCCCTAAATTAAATAGGTGAGCTCTTTTATAGCAGGCATCTGGTGGGGATTGGAGAAAGGGGCAGCTTTGGGACCTATTCAGCTGGTCCTAAGGAGGGGAAAGTACACAGTCCTACCTCCAAGTTCCATAGGAATGAGAGACATTTCTCAGAACTATCTACATTTGCAAGCCAGGTAGAAATTCAACAGGAAAAGCTTCAATAGGCTAGTTCAGGGGTAGGCCACCTTGGCTCTTTTATGACTCGTGGACTTCAACTCCCAGAATTCCTGAGCCAGCCATGCTGAGGGGAAAGGGAGACTTTCCAAGCAGAGCCATGCTGGCTCAGGAATTCTGGGAGTTGAAGTCCACGAGTCATAAAAGAGCCAAGGTTGCCTACCCCTTGGCTAGTTCATTACAGGTAGTTCTTGACTTACAACCACAACAGAGATCAGAATGTCTGTCGTTAAGTAATGAGCTGTGCCCTATTTTACAATCTTTTTTCCATGGTTGTTAAGCGAATCACTGCAGTTGTTAAGTAAATCGTGTGGTTCTTAAGTTAATCTGGCTTCCCCCATTGACTTTGCTTGTCGGAAGCTGGATGGGAAGGTCGCAAATGGTGGTCACGTGACCCTAGGGTGCTTGTTGTAAATGCAAGCTGGATACCAAGTTACCACATTTTTAATCACATGACTGCAGGGATGCTGCATCAGTTGCACATGTGAGGACTGGTTAAGTCCCATTATTCATTGCTGTTGTAATTTTGACCCCAGTCACTAAATGAGCAGCTATCAGTTGAGAACTACTTGTACATCATAGCAAACAATAATCATTTGGTATTGGCTTAGTAGGTGCTGAGCCCTGCCGATGATTATGGTCTGTTTGCAAAGTCAATTGTGATTTTTGTATGGTTCATGAAAGACATCCGTCTGTGGTCTATCTATTGTTTGTGCTTGGAGCCATTTATGGTTTATTAATGGTTTGTGCATGAACCAACAATGGTCTGTTTATAATTTGGATATGGAACCAATTATGGCTTGTCTATGGAAACCCAAAACTGTGGCTTAGCATGACAAACAAGCCAATTTATGGCATTTCTCTCCCGAAAACCAGTTTATTTTTTAATTTATATTTCATATCTTAACTCAGAAGGGGGTGCTGCAGTTGAAATTAGATTGCTGTACACCTCCTTGTGGAGGTGTACAAAAGTAAAGGGACAAGCAAGTTTATCTGTGACTTCAGATGTTATTGTTCATTTCATAAAAAAGATGACATCTATTTATTCTGGATTAACTCTGAGGTTTCCTTCCCCATCCCAGGCATGTCAAGCTCACGACATCACGTGATGTTGCGTGATATATCGGGAATTTTTCCCCATTACAGGCAATGGGGTGGGCGCGCTTTCAGCGTGACGCATCTGACCTGCAGGCCAGCAGTTTGACATGCCTGCCCTATCCCCTCAGAATTTGAATGACCAGAGTTGGTTATGGTGTTTTGTATCATTTTTAGAGAGCTGAGGGGAGGCATAGGTAAGCCATGATTATTGTAATCCTGGTTTTGTGAATAAACCATAGTTCATGCAAACTGGATTTGTACCACACTCTTAAGTGTCCAACAAATAGACCACATTCTTTACTTCTTTGCTAGTCTTATATCCTGCCTTTCTTTCAGAAGCTCAAGACTTTGTGCACAATACTCTCCCCTAGTATTCAAAATTCTCTAGTATTCAAAATTCCGCTTGGCAACTGATTCGTATTTATGATGGTCACAGTGTCCCAGAGTCACGTGATCCCCTTTTGCGACCTGATTAAGCAAAATCAATCAGTAAGCCAGATTTAACAACCATGTTACTAACTTGCAGTGATTCACTTAGTCTCTGTGACAAGAAGGGTCGTAAAAGGGGGCAAAACTCACTTAACAGCTGTCTTGCTTAGCAATATAAATTTTGGGCTCATTTCTGGTTGTAAGACGAGGACTACCTCTACATGATTGGCAGGATGACATCTTGCCGCACAAATTGGCGTCTGGGGGGGAGGGGGCTCTGTGGTATCCGAAGCAGAACATCCAGATTCAGTCACAGCTTTGTTCCCTATAGTATTAACCTTGTGAACTCTCAAGCTTCCTCTTTCCACTACGTACTCAAGATGGACAGTGATTAATGTTACTTATATGTAAGGGTGTAGGTCTGCACATATGTTGTATATAGGATGTTTTAAATGTGTGTTATGTATGTGTACACTTTGAGAGGAAGTAACTAAATTTCATTTTTAATGTGTGCCATTGTGCCCACAGGGGGAAAAAAATGACAATAAAGGTTATCTCTCTATCTACAGTAGTGGCCAAAATTGTGGAAACCTTTTGGGAAAAGTGTACGGTAGAAATGCCACCTTTGGTTAAGTTCCCACCCATTTTCCTTCTAATTTCTTTATAACGGTAGCTTTGTTCACTTAATAATACTATTTTACATCGCTTTCTGGGCAACCAGTCAACTCTCTGCACCGTTACTTTAATTTTATTACGTTTTACAAACTCACTAAATGAAATAACACAAAAAAATACCAACCAACTTGACAGCAATCACATAACACACTGACAAATGTCCTTAGCTTCAGTACATGACATCAATAACTGAATCCTACTGTGATCTGATTGGCTCATTGCCAAAACAAGATAACACCTGATTGGCTACAATCAGATGAAGGAAAGCTACCTGATATCAACCTAAACAAGTTGTGCTTCCTTTTTCTGGTTATTTGGCTATAACGTTTCATAGAATACAGTACAGATAATTGAACAAACTTTGTTGCATTACATTCTTGATTAAATTACCTTTCCATTGATATATAATTTTATGGTACTACTCCCCTCCAAACAAGTGGTGCTATTAACCATCAAACCTCAAAAATACACCTTTCCCAAAAGGTTTCCACAATTTTGGCCACTACTGTATCTATCTATGGTGGCTTAAACGAAGCCTGGTGCTCAGTAACGATCTTGTTTGTTTCCTTTCCTTTCTTTCTTCTTTTTTCCTTTTCTAGGGCATACCCCTGAGCTGTTTGATGCCTTCATCTGTTACTGCCAGAACGACATTCCTTTTGTGCAGGAGATGATCCAGGAACTGGAGCAGGCAGAACATAAGCTGAAGCTCTGTGTCTTTGATCGGGATGTCCTGCCGGGCACCTGTGTATGGTCCATCACCAGCGAGTTGATTGAGAGGAGGTTTGTTTAGGAGCACCTCTGAAAAAAAAGCTTAAATTAACCAAAGCGCAGATAGAGGAGGAACTGGAATTAAAACACGGATTGTTTTTCATTTGGGGGGGGGGATGGAGGTGGTAAGACGAGCAGGCTAGCACTTGTCCAATAAGATCTGGGAGAAGAGAACTGCAGCAGTTGTTAGGTGAAAAACCGTGGACATAAATCACTTTTTGAGTGCCGTTGTAAATCTGAACAGTTGCTAAAAGAATGGTAAGTCAAGGACTCTTTTTATTCAGTCAATAGGGCTTATTCAGCTCCTAATTAATAGAAAAGAATATTCTTCCTTGGCTAAGACACACAAGGAATTTGTCTCCAGTGCACCAGCTCTCATTGTACATACAAGCAACAAGTAATAAATCATGGTTATAATCATAAAACATAATCAGCATAAATTATGAGATACAACACCCAGTGACAGTCATAAGATACTAAATAAAAGCAATCAGTAGGAATCATAAGAAAGAAACAGCACAGTGATAGTCATAAAATGCGAAAGGAATAGGAAATAAGGAAAGATGAGAAATATAACAATAATACAGCCCTACCAGGATATTTGATATCCTAGGGCAGTGGTGGCGAACCTATGGCATGGGTGCCAGAGGCGGCACTCAGAGCCCTCTCTGTGGGCACGTGTGCCGTCACTCCAATCCTAGGCCTTCAGCTGGGTTTTATAAAACCTTTTCGCTTTAGGCCTCCGCCACCATGTGCAAAAAAAAGAGAAAAGGTTCAATCAGTCAATTTCAACTTCTGGCGGAAAAAAAAAGTTATTGCAAAGTTAGAATTGATTGATTGAATTTTTTAGTCCCACCCAGGCTGTCGTTACCACTGCAGCCATGCCCACCCAATGGGCCACACCCACCCGGCACTTAACGATGCATGTGGGTTTTGGGTTGCAGTTTGGGCACTCGGTCTCTAAAAGGTTCACCATCACTGTCCTAGGGCAGGGGTCTTCAAACTTGGCCCTTGTGGACTTCAACTCCCAGAATTCTTCAGCCAGCATGCCTGGCTGAGGAATTCTGAGAGTTGAAGTCCACGTCATAAAAGGGCCAAGTTTGAAGTCCACAAGTCATAAAAGGGCCAAGTTTGAAGACTCCTGCCCTAGGGCATAAGACAGTATTGTGGGAATTAGTTGTGTAGCAGAGTGATGGCATGGGGGCAAAAATTCCTTGTGTCTAGTTGTTCTGGTGTGCAGTGTCCTATAGCGTCGTCTTGAGGGAAGAAGTTGAAACACTTTTATGTCCAGGATGTGAGGGGTTTGTAGATATTTCACAGCCCTCTTTCTGACCCTTGTAGTAAACAGATCCTCAATGGAAGGCAGGCTGCCAGCCACTGTGTTTTCTGCAGTCCTAATTGTCCTCTGAAATCTGTCTCTGTCCTGTTTGGTTGCTGTGCCAAACCAGGATGGGGAAAGAAGCTCATCCCCAACGTGTTTTCTGGTTCTGTGTGTAACTAAAGGTGTCGGAGGATGGTGGTGGTCATCTCGGACGATTACCTTCAGAGTGAGGAATGTGACTTCCAAACTAAGTTCGCTCTCAGTCTTTCCCCAGGTAAGACAACGTCAGAGGTCAGTCAGTCAGGCTGTGCCACTTTGCAGACATTCAAGTAGCCCCCGACTTATGAACTACAATTAAGCCCCCAAATTTCCGTTGCTAAGCAAGACCATTGTTAAGTGAGTTTTCTCCACTTTACGACCGTTCTTGTCACAGAGATTAAGTGAATCTTGTTGTTAAGTGAGTCACTGCAGTTATTAAGATAGTAACATGGTTATTCAGTGAATCTGGTTTCCCCTGTTGACTTTGCGTGTCAGAAGGTCACAAAAGGGGATCACACGACCGTTATAAATGCATGCCACTTGCCAAGCATCTGGATGTTGGTCACATGACCATGGGGATGCTGCAACGGTCGTAAGTGTGCAAAGTAGTCATAAGTCGCTTTTTTTCAGTAGTACCTTTGAACAGTGGCTAAACAAATGGCTGTAAGTCGAGGATTACCTGTATTGGACTGCCGTGGGATGAGCAGAGTGGCTCAGAACATCAGTTGAGGAAATGTGGTGGCCATCATGCCTCTTGCTTGGGACCACAGTTCATGTCAGGTTAATTCACTCTCCCGTCTTGGCTTCCTCCTGCAGGTGCCCGTCTCAAACGTCTGATCCCGGTTAAGTGCAAAAACATGAAGAACGAGTTCCCGAGCATCTTAAGATTCATCACGGTCTGTGACTACACTAACCCAGCCACCAAGAAATGGTTCTGGATGCGACTAGCCAAATCTCTGTTGCTTCCATGATCTTGCGCTGAAAGGTTGAAGCCCCACGGCCCCAGAAGATGGGGCCTGCAGGAAGGGTGGAGGTCCCCGTAGCTTTTCCTTGACTTTTCATCCTGAAGACAAAAGAACCAGGGTTTTAATCAAACCTTCCTGAGAACCGTAAGCTTGGTTTAAACCCCACCTTTATAAATCCTTTGGAACATTCCCCTCTCCTCCCCTCGGCCTCATGTTGGCTTAAAAAGAAGGAACAGAATCTAATAACAGATGCAACTGTTCCTGGGATATTAATCTATATTCCGTTTTTTTTATTTTCCCCTGCTTCCTTTTTAATTTTTGGCAGAACAAAGGGACCAAGAAAAACTTGACATAAACACTTTTAAAATCATGGGATGAGAAGCAACAAATATTTTCTCCTAAGAGCACATTGGCTATGGGTTCTTGTGAAGGAAGGACCAAAAGAACATTATTCTGTGCATAAGCATAGGACCTGTTCTAGTTTCTTGTTTCCAAAAATCAGCCCCCCCATTCCACACACCCCCACGCACACAACCTGGTGCTTTAAAAGCTTCTCATCTACCACAGTGCACAGATGTGCCAGCATGTAATCCTGGTGCCTTCTATATGTGACCTCATATTTCACCTAGTGCAGGGGTCTTCAAACTTGGCCCTTTTATGACTTGTGGACTTCAACTCCCAGAATTCCTCAGCTAACGGGCCTGGCACGTTGGCTGAGGAATTCTGGGAGCTAAAGTCCACAAGTCATAAAAGGGCCAAGTTTGAAGACCCCTGACCTAGTGCCATAAGTATGGTTTACTTTAACTGTGATTTCTCAACAAGTCTTAGTGGAATCGTTCACACATAATACCTAGCCATGAAGCCCAGGTGATAGTGATTGAGTTCGCAAGTGATGCTAAACCAATTATGATTTGTTTCATTAAAGTCTTAACGCAGGTATGAATTTTTAGAATAACAAACCTGTGGAACAACTTGCCTCCAGAAGTTATGGATGCTCCAACACTGGAAGTTTTCAAGAAAAAATTGAATATCCATTTGTCTGAAATGGTATAGTTTTTTCCTGCCTGAGCAGGAGGTTGGTCTAGAAGATCTCCAAGGTGCCTTCCAATTCTGTTATTCTGTACCTCTGCTGTTGTGTGGGTAAATCAAAGTTTATGGCTCAGAGTTACTGTATGTACAAATGTAGCCTGTATAAATTTTAAAAGTAGCCAATTCTCTCCCATTTTCAAAGCAGGGGGACAAGATGACCACAGTTTACATATGTGTGTTGAATCCCATAATTTGACTCCCAGCTATTCCTGGAACCCATGGGTCTCCACAAAAGGAGAGTTGCAAATATGACATCATAACATAAATGATGCAAACAATGAGTGTGGGTAATGATGTCGTGATAGGTATAGTGTCACTGTGGCTTCTGCTAACACCAGTGATAGCACGATAGCTGTGGTCCTACTGAAACCATGCTTAGTTGCTGGATCCCTTTAATTTCAGGGGTGATCAAGCTTAATCAAGTTTGGATCCAGCCCATGATATCCAGAGCAGGAGAAAAACATTTTTTTTCATTCATCTCCAACCTCATATTCAAGCCCCATGTCTCTGTCTAGGATTGCTACAGATACATGTGGACTACAGATAGTCCTCAGCTTATGACCACAATTGACCCCCAACATTTCTGTTGCTAAGCAAGAGAGTTGTTAAGCGGGTTTTGCCCCATTTTACAACCTTTCTTGCCACAGTTGTTAAGTGAATCATTGCAGTTTTATGTTAGTAACACGGTTGTTAAGTGAATCTGGCTTCCCCATTGACTTTGCTTGTCAGTAGGTCCCAAAAAGACACTGCAACTGTCATAAATATGAGTCAGTTGCCAAGTGTCTGAGTTTTGATCATGTGACCACGGGGAGCTGCAATGGTTATAAGTGTGAAAAACGATCGTGTCATTTTTTTCAGTGCTATTGTAACTTTGAACAGTCACTAAACAAATGGTTATAAGTCGAGGACTACCTGTTCCTATCTACACCTACTAGGTTGTGAATAATACAGAAGTCCCCCCAATCTTTGGGTGGAGGTGGTAGTTACATTTGAAAATTGAATGTAAAAAATTGATTTTAGTGTGTTTGGCCGCTCTTGGCAAACACAGGTGTGTGTGTGTGTGCTATTTCCCAAGTGCCATTATGATGCACTCATTTAACAGGACAGTATTCGGTGATAGAGACTTGCCTCGGTACAATTAAACTTTCAGTTTTTATCTGTCTCTCCAGGGTTGAGTGCAGGATGGTCAAAAAAGTCAAGATGGCCAGCGTGACATTGTAGTTGAAGCTCTCCCCATTTATAAGTGCACTTAGCACGGTGGCCATTTTGACTTTTTTTCACCACAGCTCGCAAACACCTTAGGGTCCTGAGGTGTCATGCCAGGTTTCAGCCTCAGGATATATGACATTTGGAAACACTATTTTGCATGTATTCTTGGGTAGCATTTAATAGCTTTACTTCAGGGACTAACAACGCTTTTGTATGATTATAGTTAATTCAGATTATTCATTTCTGAGCTGGCACAATCCATTTCTCCTGTTAGCTTTCATAGGATGGTTTTTGTTCAGATATTTTAACCATTTGCCCTCTTGCTCTCCCTTTTAGATTATTCTTTCATAGCACTGCCTGATGTCTTTTCATTCTGAAACTGCACTTAATTCTAGAGCAGAGGTGAGGAATGATGGTCCTTTATGACATGTGGACTTCAACTCCCAGAATTCCTGAGCCACCATGCTTGGCTCAGGACTTCTGGGAGTTGAAGTCCACAAGTCATAAAAGAGCCATCGTTTCTCACCCCTGTTGTGGAGAATCAAAGCCTTTTTTAATATGGGGTTCACAAAATAATGAAAGAAAGAAGAAGTTTCTTATTATTGAGGGTTGTTCTCCCTCACTTCAATTTAATTTGTCATTGGAGTTTATTACATATGTGTAAATGAATTCAATTCTCATTTTTTTTTTTTTGAGTTTTGGGGGTTTTGCCAGAGAGGAGGGGAAAATGGAGATTTAATCTGATTCAAATGAAGGCAGATGTAATCAAGCTGTCCGCACTTCCTGAATCGCAGTAAGATTCAAAACAGAGAAATTGTACTTTGAAATTAGCACTTTCTGAAAGAAACTGAGCAAAAAATATTTATATTGCTGGAGTTACCAAAAAAAGATATTAACAACAGACTATTTATGTTACAGTCACTTAAAATGCATACAGTTTTTAATGTTGATTTTAAACAGTGTGCAGGGATGCTGCAAAGGAGAATTTAAAATTAATGTTAGACTGGGTGAATGAGAAACTGATTATTTGGGGATGTGTTTCTCCTTTTACAAATAAATTCAAGGATGGTCATAAACAATGTGCCAATGCAGGGTAATAATTAACCCGGGTGTACTGAAAATCTGGATTTATTTATGTTTGGCTTAGTGTATGTTGGACACAAATTTCTATATTTTACTGTGTTGTTGAAACCAATACTGCTGCATAGGTAGTCCTTAACTTATAACCACAATTGGGATCAGAATTTCCATCTACTAACTAAAGTGGCTATTAAGTAAATTGGACTTGATTTTATTATCTTTTTTGCCACATTTTTAAGCAAATCACCGCACTTATTAAGTGAAGTAAATTCAATTTCCCTCATTTATTTTGCTTGTTAGTGGAGCAACTTGCTTCCAGAAGTTGTGGATGCTCCATCACTGGAGATTTATAAGAAGAGATTGGACAACCATCTGTTAGAAATGTTATAGGGCTCCCTGTCTGAGCAGGGGGTTGGACTAGAAGACCTCTAAGGTCCCTTCCAACTCTTTTTTTCTGTTAACTTCATAGAACGCCAACTAACTGTACTTCATACTAATGCCCATCCATCATCAAAAAAAATCCATTTGCAGATGGAAAGATCCTGTTGTTTTATTTCCTTATAGATCTGAATCAAGCTCAAAACTGCATTTATCAACTGTTCTGTGTATTTTCAATGTTACTATTTTCAATTTTCTGCTGATTTTTTAAAACGGTCTTTTTAGGCTGTTGAATAAGATTCTGAACATATTTGGGATAGCAAAGTCTTTTTAATAATTACATTTATGCACTGATTACCCTGGCGTGTTGTTGAGTCTAATTATTGAGCCAAGCTTACTCTATTATCCACAAGCAGATATAAAAGTTCCCATCTGTGTTTCCCCGTGAACGAAGGATCACACCCCGCCCTGATAGCTAACAGCCCACATATAAAAGAAATACTTACTTCCTCAATTTCTTCCACAAATTGATTAGTCATTCATTTTATATGATTGACCTTGACCTGCCTTTTCTTTTCAGCCAAGCTTTAAACTCTTAATTTTATGGAGCTCCCGTTTTTTTTGCAACAATATGGAAGCGTTTACCCTCTGTTTCTTTCAGGATGTTTCTCAACTTACCTTGTCCCTTTTCTGCATCTGATTTCCCCTGTCTTCTCTTTTATTGGCAATGCTCTTGTGTTTTCTGTCCACATTGCAGCTAAGGCTCGACTTAATGACCATTTAGTGACTGTTCAAAGTTAGAACAACCCTGAAAAAGTTGGAGGATCATTTTTCATACTTAAAACCATTGCTGCATCCCCATAGTCACGTGACAAAATTTAGGTACTTGGAAACTGGCATGTACTTACCTTTTGTGACAACCAAAGCCAGATTGGACTAGATGACCTCCAAGGTCCCTTCCAACCTTACTACTACTAGATTCATTTAACATCTGTGATGCTAATTTAATAACTGCAGTGATTCACTTAACAACTGTGGCAAGAAACGGGGCAGAATTCACTTAAACAACTGCCTTGCTTAGCAGTGGAAATTTTAGGCTCAATTGTGGCCATAAGTCGAGAACTACCTGTATTTCTCACCTTTCATCAATTTTCTGGCCTTCTACTCAGCAAAGTGTCCCCTGAGTCCCTAATCTCCTACCTGTCCCCCCACCCCCGTTTTTTCCTATACAGAAAAATAGTAATATTTTTAACAATAGTGGTTATCCCAAATATGTTTTTTCAGGAGGCAGCTGGACTTTCTTGTTTTTCTTTGAAGATGTTTCACTTCTCATTCAAGAAGCTTTTCAGCTCTGATTGGATGATGGGGAATGGAAAGATTTATACTCCTTGAAGAGAGCTGGTCATTTGCATCCTTTTAGAGAGTTGCTAGTACTACTTGGAGGCTAATCTGTGTCTTCAGAGTCACCTAAGTCAGTGGTTCTCAACCTATGGGTCGGGACCTCATTTGGGGTCAAACGACCATTTCACAGGGGTCGCCAAACAACTCAGTCCGCCATTTTTTTCCCCTTTTCCTTAGCTGTGCTACTCCCTTTTATTCTATTGGCTTTTGAAAGCCAATAGAATAGACTCTCTTGAATAGAGTCTAATTCTATTGGCTTTCAAAAGCCAATAGGAATTGTCCAGGCTGTCTCTGCCCTGCTGAGCCCGCCAAAAGTCCCATTCTGCAAACGGTGCTGCACCAGTTGAGTAGTCCTCGACTTACAACCGGTTGAGTAGTCCTCGACTTACGACCGGTTGGGGATCGCGGCATTAAAAAGGTTGAGAACCACTGACCTAATTGGTGCAAATGGGTGTGGAGCCTTCTTGGAACTGCTGAAAGGACTGTATTGTAGACTGGAGATAGATGATGTGGTATCTCCTCCGTTCTCTTGAGAGAGGGATGTTCAGTTTTGACGTAGAGGGCCTCTTAAAAGAATGCAAATGACCACCTGTTTGCAAGGAGTATAAATCCTTCCATTCCCCACCATCCAGTCAGAGCTGAAGAAGCTTCTTGCATGAGAAGCAAAACATCGGCAAAGAAAAATAAGAAAGTCCAGTTGCCTCATGAAAAAAAAAAAATCATCTTTGGGAAAACTATGACCTGGATGACTGAGAATCTCCATACAGTAGTTGCACCCTTTGTGTTAGCATAAAGCAAATACATTTTAAGCAAATATAATCCTAGCTGAATGGCATCAGCGGGCACTCCCCAGCCCTTTAATGAACAAAAACCATCCAGAGGGAATAAAAAAATGTGCAATGTCTTTCGTAATGGTGCTTGACCCATTTTGACACTTGGCCAAATCTTTAGAATTATTAGGTCAAAGAGAGACAATTTGCAGCCCTTTAGAAATGGCAGCTTGGCTGGGAGTGAAGGATGCTGGGAAGTGTAGTCTCCAGAGCTCCTTTGATTGGTTGATTTGGGGCTTCGGTTTTCTAACTGAAGAAGGTGAATGTCTAATCTGTGCTCAGTGCAGGGTCCACTAACACAGTGTTTTTCGAAGTTGGCAACTTTTAAGATGTGTGGACTTCAACTCCCAGAATTCTCCGGTCAGTATACTGGATTCTGGGAGTTTGAATCTATACATCTTAAGGCAGGGCTTTTCAACCAGTGGTACAGGTACCACCTGTGGTACATTGGCACCTGGCAGGTGGTACGCGACCATCCTAGAAAAGTGGTAGTGGAGGAGGGGAATGAGCTGAACCGGTGGCAGCACCGCACAAGCCTGAGCAAGAGATGGCTGGAGCTGCAGGGCTGTCAGGGCTCAGCGGAAGCGCCAGGATCAGCGCCAGGGCTCAGCACTGATCCTGGTGCTTCTGCTGAGCCCTGAAAAAGCACCAATCAGCTGGAAAGCAGCACTGATCCTGGTGCTTCTGCTGAGCCCAGAAGAAGCGCTGATCAGCTGGAATGTTGCAGCATCTCCAGGGTCTTATGATTTACATTCAGATGCTTGGCAACTGATTCATATTTATGATGGTCACAGTGTCCCAGAGTCATATGAAGTGACCAAAACCTGCTGCAACCACCCAGCAGACGTAGGGAATAAAAATCAAACAACCCCCACCCCCAACTATTTTTTTGGGGGGGGGTCATCAAGTTTTTGACACCTTGCTAGGAGACTGGTGGTACTCGGATATTGCCATATCCTAAAAGTGGTACAATGGGTGAAAAGGTTGAAAAGCCCTGTCTTAAGGTTGGCAACTGTGAAAAACATGGCACTAATGCATTTGTTTATTATCAGCCACCCAGCAGCACCTGGGGGCTAACTATCCGTTCAAATGAGAAGAAAAATAAAAGAATTTAAAACAGAACCATGTGTTTGAGGCAATGCAAGAATGGCTTATTAGAAAGACAACTTACCGCACAGCGTGGCTTTAAAAAGAAGCTCAGATGACTTCATTCAGCCTCTGTCTGACGAAGGATCATTGGTTTGAAAGAGAGGCAAAGGACCCCTCCCTCAACAGAGGGGGAGGAATAAGACACCATCTATCCCCTGTTTACAACACAATCCTTTCAGCAGTTCCAAGAAGGGTCCACACCCATTTGCACTCTGGTTCAGGAGAGGGTGCCAATAAACCCCCTAGTGCAGAATTCCCCAACTTTTTGGGGTTGGTGCGGAGCGGGGGGGAGGGGGGAGAGAAGAGATAGTTTTGTGGGGGGGGTAGATACATGTGTGCGGGTATGCATGCACACAAGCACCCGTTGCTTGCACGAGGGGCCGTGAATGTTCATGCAAGGGGCTGTGAGTGCTTGCACAAGTGAGGCCATAAGCCCCTGTGACGCAAGGATGTACAAGTGGGACCACAAACGCCCATGGCAATGCTCATGCGAGCGGCTGTGTGTACACGCACACTGGCCACCCACTCACGCAGCCCGGTGGCCGATAGGCCATTGCCTGGTAGTGGGGACCCCTGCCCTAGTGGCCTCAGTGACTCTCAGAGTACTAACGACCAGACGACTGCAAAGAAATATAATCCTTCCCTTTCCCCAACCTATCCTTCCATTCCCCCTACCACTCAATCAGAACTGATGAAGCTTCTTGGATGAGAAGTGAAATGTCTTCTTCCTCAAGGAAAAAAGTCCAGTTGCCTTTTGAAAAAGCACCTTTGAGAGAAATGACCTGGATATCTTGAGAATCTCCATAGAAACTCCCAGGATGAAGAACTCAAGTAGCAGCCTGTTCCACTGACCAATAATCTTAATGGTCAAGAGACATTCCTCCTGCCTCCTCTTTCTTTGTAATTGTAGCCCGTTGGTTCTTCTCTTGGTTAGCAGAGGGTAAGTCCTTTCCACAGACATTTGGAGTCTATTCTCACCTTTCTGCCACTTGCTGTCTTTGCTGAAAACAAACCGTGCCCAACTCTTTTAACCCTTATCAGTTTCCAGAATTCACCAAAGATGTTAAAAGAAAGAAGCCATTTTAATCTACAGTACTAAGCCAAAATTCGGGAGGCCTCTGGAAGCCCTGCCTAATAAGGTTTGTTGAAAAACAAGCTTTTAAAAAAATAAATGTGCTAGCCTATGGCTATAGGAGTCCTTCAAATTCATCGGGCAAACCTTGGTTCTGTTCACCCCTAGGGGAATGGATTTTGCCAACAGAGACATTGGCAACCTGTGTTTGACTCAGTTGGTAGCAACCAAGCCCAAGAGTCATTGTTTCTTCTTCCAATCTCTTTGTCCAGATCTGTTGCTGACGTGGCTTCCTTCGCTGAGAACACATGGGGGAGGGAAAGCTGCCTTCTGCAACATTGCAGAAAAATATTGCTAAAAGCAGGCAATAATCAGCAGAATGGAACAGGGGCTGTGGGAGGGCTGCTTTGATAGAGATGAGAAAGCCTCAGAAGACTTTTGGGAAAATGGTACTGTTGAAGGGAAAAGTCTTCATCATGGTTCAGTCCAAGCCGGGAATAAACAACATGGCGACTGTTTTAGAAAGAAGGCTGCAGTTTATTGAAGAGGAGAGCCAGACAGAAAGATGGCTCTGGAAGAAAAGAGCGAGCACATGTAGGGAGTGGGTTTTTATACCCTCTAGAGACTTTTGCTTGGAGTTGTTCCTGTGGCATGAACTTTGACCTGAGTCTGTGCCTTTCTGGTATTCTGATGGTGGTGGGTTAATCCTATTATGTCTCAAGAGACATATCCTGCTTCCCTGGGGCTGTGGCTGATGACTCTAGATTTTTGATGTGTTGATTGTAGGAATCTTTCTTCCTAATCCCAGTTTCCTGATTCCAGTCTTTCTGACAAGATTATCACATCTGCATTTCTGCAGACTTGGTTCCTGTTTGGGACAGAGAGACTTGGGGGCGGGGTTGGTTTCTGC